ACTTTACAGTTTTCTTGATTTAAAAGGTAGAAATTTGCAAAATATTTAATTATAAATGTGTAAATTCGTATATAAAAGCAAAGAAATATGTATAAAATATCTTAAGAATGTTTGTTCTTCTATTATATTACCCCATTCATAAAATAATTTATAAGCATTTCTTCGCTTTTATACACGCATTTCTACATTTATAATTAAATATTTTGCAAATATCTACCTTTCGAATCACGTAAACTGTATAGTTTTATTCATTTCCTCTATTTTTATATAGTTTTCGTTAGCTGTTTTGCCTCAGGAATGGAGCAAAACAGCTAAACAACATCGCTTTGTTTCTATACAAACAACAAGATAAAGATACATTGCTTTGTTTTACTATACATTTTACAAATTAAATTTCCAATTAAATTAAATTTTTTAGATCTATTTATTATTATTATTATTATTATTATTATTATTTTCATGCAATTTTCTTCATTTATTCTTTTGTTATACTGCTGAATCCTTAAGATATTGTTTATTTTGTTATATGATTTCTTAGTTTGATCAATATTAATTTTAGTTTCTTTTATTGCTGTACTAAAGTCGTTTCATCTGTTATATATATATGTAATTTAATCGTCAATACTTCAACTTATTTACTTTATCTTAATTTGCTTAATTGGTATTGTTCTTTGTTCTTATAACTGCTTCAAACGTAATCATCTTCATAAATTATTATGAAGATGATCACGTGTGAAACAAAGTAACAAATCAATTAATTCGTGTGTTTTCTGTTTGGGCCTCTTCTATAGACATTAAATTTCGCGAAATACAGGTCAATATTACTGAAAATATATGAATAAATTAACGATTCTGTATGGGTAGTCTACTGGGATGATGAAGATAAAATATTAATTTTATAAAATTACTGTTTGTAGATGAGGTACACTATGATGATGAAGATGAAAATAAAATATAAATAGCATAAAATTAGCATCTTATCTTGAGCATTATTACTATAATTACAATAAAATAAACTACTGATTTCATAAAATTAGTATTTCTGGAAGAGGTTCATTATGATGATGATGATGATGATGATTGTTTAACATTAATTTCATGTATTTACTTTTTTTTTCTTTTTAGAGAAAGCCCACTATAACGATTATAATGAAGATGAAATATTAATGTCATTTAATTAGCGCTATCATCTTCATCTTCAGCATTATTCTAGCTTATTAATTAGTTTCCTCATTAAAAATTTATAGAAAAAAATTCTTAAAAAGTAAACGAAGAGATGAATTACGAAAATATTTTCTATAAATTTTCGTATAAATTAATTTTAATAATTTTCTTTATCATCATCGTCATAATTACCTTTTACCTAAATTAGAATTTGTTAAAATTTAATTATAATTAAGATTTCTCTAAATGAAATAAAATTAAATGCGCTCGAATAATTACTTTTAACACATTTCTACTTTTCTTTCAACTTAAAATATAATTTTACACTCGAGATAGTTTATTAAATAAAGGTACAATAATGCATTTTATTATTATTTATTTCACTAAAAATAATTAGTTTTTTCTTCCTATTTTTTCGCAATTTTCTTTGTTTCTATTTAAATTTTTTTCCCATTTCTTTCCACTTAAATATTTTAATAAGAATGATGATAATTAAGTAAAGAAAACAATTTTTTTTTGTATGTAAATGTTGGTATTTTACAAAACAGAAGCAATTTAACATTTATTATTTAGATTATAAACAAAATGGCGTACGAGTATTATTTTTTATTAACAAGGAGATTTAATATTATGCACCAAAATGTGTAGAAATTAATCTTTACTAGTGTATATATATACTGTTATTTTCTTATAAATATGTAAATAACGTGATAAATAGTGAGATGTTAATGTGTTATGTGATTTAACACATTAATAATTAATATTATATAAGTAAATTGAGGTATGTTAATAGCCTAAAGTAAGCCACGTATTCTTCTTTTTAATGTACAGTAAGAGAGCCATATGTCTTCTTCTCAATGTGCAGTGAATCATATGTCTTCTCCTCAGTAAGCAAGCAACGTGTCTCCTCAATATGCAATATGGAAGTCACTTGTCTTCTCCTCAATGTGCAGGAAGCGAAACATGTGTCCTCTTCTCAATGTGCAATAACAACGACACGTGTCTTTTCCTCAATGTAAAATATGAAAATCACGTGTCTTCTCCTCAATATGCTTACTGTACATTGAAATGTATATTATATGAATAATACTTTATATAATCGCTGATAAGAAGATATAAAATACGAGATATACAAGGTAACATATCTTAAAGGTACTCTGAGATAACATGCATATGACACTACACAATTATAACTTCCTTGCAAATAAAAACTTAAATCAAACCTGTGAACAACGGCCACTTACGAGGACATAAAAATAACTTCTAGTTAAAGGTGACCGTTGTTTGGAGGTTCGATCGTGTACGTCATTACATCACATGATATACCTATGAAAGGGTATATAGAACAAACAATAAAGAAGCATAAAGAATAAGAGAGTTAATTGGCATTAAAAAAATAATAATATTAATTTTAAAATAATTTACTTATTTATTTATTTTTTTTCTTTGTGTGTAACTGAAGTAAACGGTTAGATATTTTATATTGTATTTTGTAGGATTGTTGAAGAAGCTTTCAATTTTCCATCGGATAGATCGCTTTTCTACTGCAGTCTTTTGGCCCAGAGCCAAAAATCTTGTTCTCGAAAGTTATTTGCAGAATGTCACCATCTTTCAAATATAATTTTCAAATATATAAAATAAAAGGAATATATAAGTAAATTTATTAACTGCCAAAAATAAATAAATAAAATAAAAATTTCATTAAATCGCTCCTCCACCCCCCAAAAAATATCGGAATTAATTACAAAATTTGATTATAATTATTTATTTTAATTTTGTTTCGACTAATTGTTACGCGAGATTGATGCAAAGACTCATTAGCAGGTTGGTTGAAAGCCCTTAATTGTGTCTCTTTAATTGATTTGATCGATAACCTGTCAATTAGTTAATTTCTTCACCATTGATTTGATGTAAATCAAAGTGTTCTCTTGTAATTTATATCACTGAATCTCTTGAATCATGCTTTAAAAAATCTTCTTATTACTTCAAATGTTCATAAAAAATTCACGATAATTTAATTGCGTTAAAAATATAGTTAATTTCGTTTAAAATACGGTTAATTTCGTTTTTAAATCCAATTAATTGCGTTTAAAAAAATACACTCAATTGCTTTTTTCCACTTTTTTACGATTAATTTTTTTAAAAAAATAAAAATTATATAATTAAAAAAAGGAATATTTTTGCTTCTATTTTTTTTACTAGAAATAATTCTTTTTTATTATTTTTCTATTTATAAAATTACTTCGAAAACCAAATTAAAATTTTACATAATTTATGAAAAACGTTATAAAGAGTTTTTTACAGTCGAACCTGTAATAAAGGCCATATTTTCAGGAACTTTTTAAAAAGAATTCATACAAAATAACCTCTAAAAGAGCGATAATTTCTTACGTTTTCGTCAGTGTTCGTTGTTTACAGGTTTGACTGGAAATGTTAAAATTGTTGGAATTTTATAAAATGATTCAAAATTTGATTTAAAAATATTTAAAGTTACATGAAAACCGGTTTATAATTTGGTAAGAAATACTCAAAATTTCAAGAAAATTATTCAAAATTTCGCAAATATTCAATATTAAAAAAATTAATTTAGAAAAGAAGAATTTCATAAAAATTATTTTAAAATTTCACCCAAAAAAAGCGAATAGAAAAACGGTTTAAAATTAACGAAAAAAAATTTGAAATTTTATAATTATGATATTATTAATGTGATAATTAAATAAATTAATTTTAAATTATTTTAATGAAATTTAAAATCTATAAATTTAACAAGAAAGGAATTAAATTTCACAAAAGTTGTTCAAAATTTCACAAAAATTGCTCAAAATTTTAATAAAATTCATTCAAAATTTACATAAAAATTGTATTTTTATTTAAATTTTGAATTTACATAAAAATTCCAAATTTTTGTATGTATGTAATCCTTGTATGTTCATTTTTATATTTAATAATTTAATTTTTGTGAAATTTTTAATGGATTTCATGAAAATTTTGAACAATTTTTATGTACAAAATTTACATAAAAATTGTTCAAAATTTCACAAAAATAAATTATTAAATATAAAAATGAACACACAAGGATTAATCACANTAGATTTTACAAATACGTGAGCCGTTCACAGCCCGGCACACGTATTTGTAAAATTTAAGTGACTCGTACAACACAGAATTCATATAAAATGGAATTATCAACAGTATTATAGGGGGTCGACTGTATTATATGTAACAATTCTCAAGGTATAATTTGCATAATTTTCAGTGTAATCTAAAAGTGAAGCTATTAAAATGTTAGTTTAATAGAGGATGAGATATAATGCTTTTCTGCAGAAGAATACGAATATAAATTTGCAATAATTTCATCATATTTAGTTTATTAAGTTACAGTGTTTTAAAAAAAGAAAAAAATATCATGGAAACCGTTGTCGGTTATATTCAAATATTTAAAATTTGAATATTTTGGCAATATGCCGTATTATATTGTAAATTCACTAATAAATATAATGCTTTTCTGCAGAAGAATACGAATATAAATTTGCAATAATTTCATCATATTTAGTTTATTAAGTTTTTATTTAAAAAAAGAAAAAAATACCTAAAACAGAAAGTCGATTTATCGATTTTCCTGCGCGTTATACACGGTCGGAGTGTTAATAATAAGTAATTTTAATAAATTCATGGAATTTTTAGGGCTTAAAACTGTTTAGAATTTTGTAAATTCGTGTCTTATTCATTAACCCAAACGTTAAAACCATTTCAGTCATTTCTGCTCTGGTTGTTGGCAATGGATCGAAGTTGTGCTGGTTTGCTGTATGATCTCTCTTCGTACCCTCGTTGTGCAGCGCGCCCTGGTGACGCTTTCGTGCTCTACCTCCTCTGCGTGTAGGCCATACTACCCATCAGTCGCTCTCCTGTTCCTCTATCAAGCGGCTACGACCTATATTAAGTCGTCTGTATGATATCCTTAGAGCAGTTGACTCCGTATTGAAGTCCAGCCAAGTGATGAGGGAAGTAGAGTTTGGTGTAAAGGAAACCAGCTTAGAGACTTGAAAGTGAGGGGAAGAAATGGCTCGGTTTGTTTTGTGTTTTCGGATTTTTGCAATAATAAGTTTTGGCCCTTCGTCTTCATTGGCAGAAACTGACTTGTTCATTGGTGGCTTCTTCCCAATTACGCATAATCTAACTGAAGGGTCAATAGGTCGTGGAGTCATACCCGCTGTTAACTTGGCTCTTTATCACATCAACAGCAATCCTAGAATTCTCAATGGTTACTCTCTTAGAGTCTATTGGAATGATACAAAGGTAAGCTAATTAATTGCTTTAACCTCCATTATCTTCTATGCATGCTACTGTTTGTTCTATGCTTTATTATATTTAAAACCACCTATTTATACTAATTAATTAAATTTAATTTAATTTAAAATATTTCAGTATATATATATATTTTTATAAATTTCTCAATAAATTCTTCGCGGTTTCCTTTGCGGTTGTTGCTGTTTTCTTTTGTATCGAAAATGTAAACAAAATGTTAAATTGGAATTTTTAAAATAAGAAAAGAAATTATATTTTGTAAATTTAAATTTCCTATTTTCGCATAAAAGAAGAGTTTTATATAACATAATTTATATTTATAACATGGGAGGAAGGTGGTATATATATGGGGGAAAGTAAAAATTGTTTTCGTATAAGAATTTCTCCTTTTGCAAAGTATTTTCAAATGGGATTTTAATGACCTCTCTTCCTAAAACGAAAGAAGAATTTTTAGAAAAGTAGATGAGAATTAAATCTTCAGATAGGGTTGCACAAACCGTCTTCTATTGTTGCTGTAGTTAAAATTCACGTGACTAGAATACTAGTGATGCTCTCCCTCTAGTTCTCCTCCTTCTTCTTCTAGTTCTCTATCCAGTTTTTCTTCTAATTTTCCTTCATCTTGTTCTTATTCATCTCCTTCTTCTTCTAGTTCATCATCATCATCAACTTCTTCTTCTTCTTCCAGTCCTTAAAATTCACGTAATTGAAATATTGACGATATTCTTCTTTTAGTTTTTCTTCTCCTTCTTCCTCTAGTTCCTTTATTTCTTTCTCCTCTTCTAGCTCTTTGTAGCTTCTGTAGTTAAAATTCACGTGACTAAAATACCAGCTATGGCCTTCCTCTAGTTCGTTGTCTTCTTCTATTGTTGCTGTAGTTAAAATTCATTTGAGCAAAATACTGGTATTTTTCTTTTCTGAAATAGAGATAACACACATTATCATCTAAATCTTCGTCTACTAATTATAATTAAATCTGTATATGTAATTTGTTTTGCTTTACTTAATTAGAATTTGCTTATGCAAAATCGTAAAGTTGTCTTCTTCTATTAACTAAAATTAAAAGTTAATTTTTTTATTTTTTCATTAATCATAATGAAGATTTATTTGTGTGAAAATTTCACATTTCTCTTATTCTTTTGACCAGAATTCTAATTTTTTTTCTCTTATGCAATTTAATTATCGTATTGTCCTTCTATCGATTCGAATTGTGATTACTTGTACAAGACTTTCATTTTGCTTTTCTTCCATTAATTATAATTAAGAATTTTTGTACGAAACTCGTGCAATATTCTTCTCTAATTAATTATAATTAACATTCCCTTAAATAAAATTTATGTATTATCCCTTCTTTCATTTAATTTCGATTAAAATCATAAATTGCTCTTCTTTCATTAATAATTATAATCGAAATTCTTCCAGAACAGAACACAACAAATTGCTTTCTTTACATTAATTAAAACTAAGATTTTCGTATATAATACGCATAAATCACTCTTCTTCCATTAATTACAATTAAAATTTTTATGTACAAAACGCGTAAATTTAACCCACTTCCCTTAATTATGATTAACGTGTTCGATTATAAAACTCACAAATTACTCTTTTCCTGTTAATTACAATTAAGATTAAACACATTTTAGAATTTATACGGCATTAAAATTGTTCTAATCAGAAACCCATCACTTCACAGTTGAACGTTCAATAATGCGATTATGGCCAGCAAAGAAGAGGGGGGAGAAAACAAAATTTGCAATCCTCCGACAAAAAAAAACAGTAAAATATTTTAAAGAATTAATTTATTTCCCGAAATAATTTTAATAGTATTTTTTTTACCCCATGTAAATTGATAAATTAGTACATTTACACGGTTCAAAATTTCAATCTATGAGTTATCTCCATGCCAAAGTATCACTTATCTCCAGGGAATTGACTTTCATTTTATGCGATTGTTTTACCAAAATTAGCGTGGAATTTTGCTATTTATTTAATAATTTTAATGCGGTTTTAATGTTTTCGTCGACGTGTTTAGATCAATTAACATTTTGCATTATCTCAATTTAATGTCGTCTTCCATTACATGCTAACACGTTCCCATAATCTATATAATAATATTGTCAACCTGTATCTTTCAGGTGGCACATAACTGTAATGATTTCATATTCTTGTACATTTTACCGTGTATAACGCGCACTTACACGTGTACGCTTAGCGAATACATTTAATTACGCTTTAAATTTACCGAAAATTTTGCTCTGAAGTGTCATTTTTAATTTAAAAAAAATAAACTAGATTTTAAAGAAAGAATTAGCTCCAAAACACCGTTCCAAAAAGGTTATTTTCATACCAAAAAAACAGCTTTAATCTATTTTTTTCAAAAAAAATTTGGTACATTTAGTTTAAATCCAAGTTAATATCGAAAAATATTTTAGAATGATTTAAAAATACGACACTACAGTGATAAATTTCATCTAAAAACACTAATAAACAACAGAAAAATTAATCAAAACACTTGTAAACTGCACAAAAATTAAGTAAAAACTAATCAGAATATAAATAATTCCGATTAATAACCAAAAATTATGTTAAATTATAAAAAAAACAGGCCCCACAAAGTCTAATTTTATCCAAAAATACCCTTAAACTAGCTTTGCGGTATGGTGTTAAGGGTGCTTTTTTTAGCTAGTGTTTCTCCTATAAAACTAGATATATTCAATATTTCTCTACAAGAAATTCAAATTTTTGTGTTTTTTTTAGATAAAAAAATATAAAAATAAGAACAAAAAAACTGCTGCGATAGTTATATATAAAGGAAAAAAACACTTGATAGCTATGTGATACTCTACACTCACAACATAACAAACAGTAGATAAGAAAAATGGTGTTAGTTCAGGGGAATGACAGGGGAAAAATTGAAATAAAAGAAGAGTAAAAATATATATATAAAGTAAAAAAATTCACAGAAGAATATTCTCTCCAACATATTACTTGAATTTTATTTCATACAAGGTATATTTTACATGCCTGTGTTATTGAAAAGCGAAGCACACCTACTGTACGTGCCAATTTTTAATTCAATAAAAAGTTAATTATAATTAAAAATTTTGATATTTTAACACTTAAAATTGAATTTTTTTTAATCGTTTTTACATTTTACTTTTGAAATTTTAGGTAAAATGGGGTGATAATCTCCATAATTAACACATAGAAGAAGAAGCCTTTAAGTCTCTCTAACAATATTTTTGTGTTTTTCTTCATCTTTTAATGAAGAAAAAAAAAATGTTTTTAAGATAATTTTTGACAATTTTGACACAAAATTATTTTTTCGGGTGAGAGATTTATTAATTTTTTAGCTCTTCCTAAAACGAAAGAAGAATTTTTAGAAAAGTAGATGAGAATTAAATCTTCAGATAGGGTTGCACAAACCGTCTTCTATTGTTGCTGTAGTTAAANGAGGAGGAGGATGATTAAGAAAAGTAGGTGAATTGCTAGGCAAGAACGTGAAGAGGAGCAAGGTGAATGGATGCTTAAAATATTGTTTAAACTTACTAAAATTCGATTTAAAATAATAATAAAATGATTAGAATATAATTATAATTCGTGAGAAAGCCATTGTGCTCTTTAGAAGAATGACTTGATTAGAATTAGAGTAAAATGACTTTTAGGGATAATTTAAAGCGAAAAAAAAACAATAGAAGAGAACAATGACGTATTGAGGGATATTTTGAGGCAATGAGGCACCGAGAAAAAAAAGGATAATTTGTGAAAATGAGGGATAATTCGAATTGGAAGGGAATGTAGTATATTAAATTACGATTTGAGATGATGGGATGTAGTTATAGGTGAAAGGTAAAACTACATGTTAGAGGATAATTTGAGGAAATGAGGAACAATTTTAACTGAAAGATAAAGTGGCATTTTAAAAAAGAATTTGAAAAGATGAGGAACAATTAGAGTTGAAGAGAATATTAAAAGATAGTTTGGGAAAACGAGGAACAATTTTACTTGAAGAGTAAAGTGGCATGTTAGGGGATAATTTGAGATGATAGGAAACAATTTGAAGTGAAGGGAAAATGATACGTTAAGAACTAACATGAGGCAATACAAATCAACTTTAGTTGAAAGAAAAACGCTGGATAAAATAATAATAATAATAATAATAATAATTTGAGTCGATGAGGAAAGTGAGGAAACTTGAAAAATAAAATCAATATAACAGCATATAAAAATTAATAAAGAAAACACATTATTTAATTCATCACAACAAATAAAATGGAAGAAAATCGAAAAATAAAATTTTATCAAAATTCTCTCCAAAATTGTATTTTTTCCGTTTTTTTTTATTTATAAAATAATAATAAATGTGGTTTTCAGATAATATTTACTAGAATATATAGAATTTGATTCGAAGTTTACTATTCTAAGTATATGTTATGTTGACATAAACAGTATTCATTTTAAGCGTGTAAAAGTGCACTTATATAGATTTGATACTGTTTTTTCGATATTAGATTTTGTTTTTGATAAATATCAAATACATTTCTCAACTGTCGCTTTAACAAAATTACATTTTAGATAACACGCAGCATTTTCTAATTAGCTAAAGAAGAATTAGTTTTTTTTTTTTTACTTTTTTACATGTTTAATTTAAAAGAATTATATATAGAATAAAAGCATAAAAAATTAAATTTTTTATCCCTTAAAAAGGTTTAATTCTTTTTTAGAAAATTGTTATAAATAAAAAGAATTTATACTGATTTTTTTTAGATGATTAAAGGGTTGCTAGAGCGCATTTGTAATGGGTTAAAATGTATTAAATTTTTTATTTTATATTTCTAATAAATTGTACAGGAACTTTAAAAAAATTACTAAAATATCTTCGTAATTGAATTTTTTTTAAAATTTAATATAAAGAATAGAATTTATATATATTTCTTTTACATGATTAAGCAATAGGTATAATACATGTGCGATTTTCAATGGATAAAAGCGTG